TTTAAGAAAAGAAGAAGCAGACATGAAGTTTAGTTTAAGAAAAAAATGACAATACATTTTACTCTTTGACTTTTATCTCCATAAAACCCATCATACAGCTGGATAATTACTTTAACCATTGGATAATAACTTTAACTGTTGGATAAACGAAAGTAAGGCACAGGTTTCATGACTCGTCCGATTTACGAGCCAACTCGACTCGGTCCGAGTCAGTACTTGAACCGGAAATTTCTTACGAGTCAAACAAAAAACGAGTCACCTTACGAGTTGAATCGTTTTGGATCTCAAATGGCTCGACTTGTGACTCGTACGAGTTTAACAACTATGACCACATGGACCATTTATGAAGTTTTTTCTTATTTAAAAAAGAAAAAAATAAAATATATTATTTGATATAAAAGGGTCTCTCTCTCTCTCTCTCTCTCTCTCTCTCTCAAAAGATCCTTAAACCCCCTAAATCCTCAAATCCATTTTGCATCTCACTATACCACCCACACTAAGAATCACCAACAACGGAGTCCTTTAATGGCGCCTTGTGCGATTTGTAGTCGGGTGTCCCAGTTCAATTTTGACCGCCCGTCTGGTTTTTCGTGTAACAAGTAATCGAGACTTCTGTTTTCCATGAATGAATAGATCAAGAATTTGTCCTTTTTATGTCGGCACTAGCCATGAAGGAGGACGAGATTTAGGTGTTGGGCCTGCGAGAGGGTTTCCACTTCAGCTTGGAATTTGCGATTGACTTGACCAGTGTCGTCGGACAACTGTTTAATGGCGAATTTTTGGCCGTCTAGGTGTCACGCCCGTGTTTCTAGGCTAAGCATTAATGATGGTGTAATAATCTAGGTCAACCATTGGAACTCGTTTTGAAGTATTAAGAATGAATTATGTGCTTTAAACTTAATTATTATGATTTAATAAATTAAGAATAAAAATAAGCGTCGAAAATAAATATTAGATAAAGCTGATATCTATGAAGAAAGTTGTAGTGGTTGGAATAAGGATTCCGGAGATATAAAGAATACCAAAATCCGAGTTATAACGAAAAAGTTATGATCTGTCGAAGTTTCGCGACAGAACCGGCACAACGATGTATGACGTAAAAGTGAATGTACAATAAAGTGCATTTTAGCATTAGTGATCTAAACGAAAGTCATAGTGTTCGTTAAACCGAGAGTGTGCATAAAAAGAATGTCCAAATCAGACTTCGTATGAGAAAGTTATGAATTTTCTAAGATTTGACATAGTAGTATGCAACCCGAAACTCGAATTTTAGATCGAGTGATTTTTAGCCGAAACAACCTAAACAAGAATTGAAGATCTTGTTGATATTAGTTCAACAGTAAAATGACAGACGAAAACGGACGTCGGATGAAGAAGTTATGAATTTTTAACGGACTTTTCGTATCCTGGCCTGTTAAAAATACAACTTTAAAAATAAAGTCAAAATTAGCCGATGGAATCAACCGAAAGTTGTAGATCACAGTCTCACCTATGAATGGATATAAAGAACTTCAAAAACGGAGTTCGTATGCAAACGTTACGAAATTTTGAAGTTTGAAAATTCGGAGTACGCCCAGTGTACTCGTGTTCACGGTCCGAGATTGGCCACGTAGCCCTACTCCTTCGCATGAGAAACACGTGTCATAGCCTTGACGCGTCCGGAGTTATCCCTTAGTACATCCAACGTACTCATTGAAGAGGCAATACGTCCCGCGTACTCTAAAGTTACGCCCAGCGTAACTCGGGTATCCAGCCACTATAAATAGCGGACGATGCCAGCCAAATTGATGTTACCATTTTACTCCTCTTACCCCTAAACTTTCTTCAATATTGCAAAAATTACCCCCAAACCTAGTATATCATCCTAGCACCATGAGCAAGCCCCGAAGAGCCCGAAGATCCTGAGAAAAAGAGTTTTCGAGTCGAAACTATGACCATGTGAAGCCTGGTTTTTGGGAAAAGATCCCGGTTTCATCGAAGAAGATTATTTTAAGAGACGGGGTGCTGCCCAATTATCGTCTTAACAAGTGAGTGTATAGTCACTTTCATCTTACACATAGATATGATGTATTTTATATAAAATACATGCTATGTGAATATATATATATATATATATATATATATATATATATATATATATATATATATATATATATATTGTTTATTTGAGATGGATGTTGAATGAATGATTTATACAGATTTTAAATGATTTAAACTATATATATTTTTTATATCTACAAAAATGTTGGGTAAAACATGGGTAGATGAAATAGTTGGTATGTAATGAAAGATGAGTTGGATAAATGAGATGATCGGTGATATAGATCATGAGATGAGGGTGAGGGGTGGAATATGAGAGAAGCCCTTACCCAAACGTTGGCCCCCGTCATTCAGAAGAGTATGGATGACAACCATGGACTATTTTAGACGGTTCGTGGAACACTAGCATGCTCGCAACCTGTGGGTGTTATGAACTATATATTTATCAGATGTACTCTAAAAACACATTGACATGTATTGCAAGTGGATTCCCGTGAATAATACTGTCGATAAATGAGAGCTATGGACTTAGCACATGTTGTATAAACCCTGACAGCTATGGACTTAGTGTCTGTTGTATAAACCCTGACAGCTATGGATTTAGTGTTTGTTGTATAAACCCTGGCGACGATGTACTTCATGCCTATTCCTTAGGATGAATCCTTAGGAATGAATGATAGATGATTCTTAGGGTAAATCCTTAAGAAATAATTAAGACATAGTTATTTGTTATTAATCCGGGAGTATGGATTAAGACATGGTTATTGTTATTAATCTGGGAGTATGGATTAAGACATGATTATTTGTTATTAATCCGAGAGTATGGATTAAGACATAGTTATTTATTAATCTGAGAGTATGGATTAAGATATGGTTATTTGTTATTAATCCGGGAGTATGGATTAAGACATAGTTAATTTGTCCCTAGTCCGAGAGTATAGAATGGGCACAGTTATTGATCCGGGAGTATGGATCAGACATACCCAATCCGGGAGTATGGATTAGGTAAAGAGGTAAATTTTAGATTCAGGAGTATGAATTAGGTAAAGATGTTGATTTTAGATATGAGAGTATAGATGGTGTCGTTGTGAGGATCGATAGAGTGGGGTAATAAAGAGGATAATGAGGATGAAAAATTGGGATAATTGTTTGATGTTTAAACATAATAAATTTATTTATTGTGGGTTGAAAACCCTATATGCTCACCAGGCTCCCAAGCCTGACCCACTTAGCTTTTTATATTACAGGTAGTGGACTCATAACATAGTTGGATGATGACGATGGATTTTTGGATTATAGGTCAGTAGTTGTAAATAACTGTTGTAAGGCTTATAATGTACTGTTTATGTTTTTGGTCTGTATCGGAACATGACATACCGATGTTTTGTTATATAATGAAGATACATTTCTTTAAGAAATGCTTTGATAAATTTTTTATTATATTTTGTTTTGGGAACAAATTCCACAACACCTATTGGAAGATTACTCTGATTTGATTTTAAAAGCATAAACTAAATCGGTCTTTTCTAGCTGTAAAATTTGGGGATGTCACACTGGGAGGGTGGCTTCGAAGACGAGACCAAATCCTCCGCATCCGATTATGTTTGCTTGATCGAAACTGTTGGTTGATTTCAAAAGATCGTTAAGGGAAAGATCTTTGTTACTTTCGTTCGATTTCTAGAAAAGAACGACTAGTCTCGATTCACGTTCTTCTTTGTTGCTATAAGTTTCACCTTCTTTATCTGGATCAACTTCTCTTATGGTTGTTGTGCGAAGAACGATCAAGAACATGAGTAAAAGAATGAATAATGTTCTGATTTCGATTTCTATTGCCATACCTGCAACTGCACATTTTCTTTTCCTAGATTTCCTGTTTTGGGATTGTGGAAAGAGATCGTTTGAATTATGGTAAGTGTAATCGCATAACTTGTTGTTTTCTTCGAAGCTTGAATTTGTAATCATTGTAAACTGACCTCCCTTCGGGATGAACCTAGTTAAATCATTGTAAGCGACACTAAATTTGGACAAAAATGTTAAATTCACTAATGAAGAAGGTATTCATCTTGTCAAATTGTTATACGACAAATCAATAATGGTTGAGAGGTTACTAAAACTTCAATTAGAGAGGGAAAAGTAAAAAAGTGACCAGAAATTCTTGAAAGTTTCAAGGATTTCACCATGGAAGGAGGCCATGGCCGATGATGATGATGATGAATTCATAGGCCACCATCCATCAATGACGGATTTCAATTCATTCCTGAAACCCTCTAAAGCTTTTAAATCATTGGAATTGCATGTTGCTTTCTGTGAAATCATTAATTAGAACCTGAGAAACCTTAGGAAGAATCACAAGTAGCCATATCTTCCATAATACAAACATCCCGATAAACACAAAATCGGAGCAAAAAAGGTAAACAAGATTTGAAGTTCAGAAAGGCTTTAGGATTCAATTAGAAAACCCCATTTAGTAAGGTAAATCAAGATTTCTTGACAGGGTTCCCTAGATTTTTTTTTTGACGAAAATTGAAGCAAGCACAAGACAGCAAAATCCAAATGATGAACAGGTTGTAGATTTTAGAATTTTATTTTGATTTTAGAGAGAGAAAGTAGTCACTCGTCAAAGATATGAGAGAGACCATTTTATATTAAATAAATTTTTTTCTTTTTTTAATAAGACAAAACTTCATATATAGTTATTGTGATAGTGAAATGATGAAAATGTCATTTACTTAATGGATACAAATTGACGGAGCGAGCAATAAGGAACAAACATTAAAAGTTTTGAAAACACAGAAACCATCTATGAGGTTTTTTAAATTTAAAGACTAAATTTTAAGTTTTTTAAATTTAAGGACTAAACTTTAAATTTTATAAAACCACAAGGACCATATATGGAGTTTTGCCTATATGATAATATAGGAATGAAAATGAAAAATAAATATTTTTTAATAGAAAAGTTGGTTAGATTTAACTATTTGTCTGTCTATTCAAGATTTCAAGCCGATCGAAGGAGTAAAGACCCACCATTTGTTTTGGGTGGGCCCGGCTTTTCTCATAGGAGTTCGAACTTGAAGGATATGACTCCAAATTTGATTGCGTCAGATTCCAACCGAGCAAGAACAACGTGTGTCGTATGCATTTTATGCAATCATAGACGGCGGTACACCTCGTCACTTCTCAATTTCTCATTCATCACGAAGATGTAGACAATTCATGCATCTATAAGGTTATATACGCTTCCGAGTTCTAATTGAATTGTTTGATTCCAAATTTTCCGTATTTTGTTTGTCGCAGGTTATTTGATCGCGTCTTGAACTGTTGCAATTCATTTGTGGTCGAGTGAAACCCTAATTCTTCGATATCGGATGAAGGAAGTAAGTGATTCTTCATATAATTCACTGATTGTGCCCCGAGACTGTAATCGCGTGAATTAATAAGTAAAGTTGATGGAAGATGAACCCAACCCTCAAAAAAATCGATATTGTGCAAATTAAACGACAGTGTCTGAGAGTGTACTATGTTTACATTACATTACAATCACTAGTATTTGTCAGTTGAGTTTGTAATCCTCTTGATCGTTTCTGACTTGCTATTTGCAAATGAAGTAATGAGGTGCATAATCATGTTTGAGTTTTTTACTAGACAACAATAATCTGTTAAAAGGAAGCTTTAACGCCCATAGACCATAGTCATTCCAGCAGACGAAGTTTGTAATGCCTAAATATTGTCGCAGTTCATTGATAGAATTGTAGAAATTTAGGCAATAATAGCCATCTTTTGCCACATTACAACACAGATACTTCCCACCAGTTCTGAGATTATCACACTAGACTGGATCGTATTAGGTTTTATGTAATTTCATTCTTTTGGAAGGACCTAAATTTAGAGGTCCACTTGTTGTTTGGTGTCAAAAAAGCTAATAATATATTGTATTTGGAACTTTGCACGAACATGTAATCTGCATATCAAATAACTACGAAAAATCGAAACTAGATGTTATTGCGTAAACAATTGAATTCAGATTATTATGAAAGTTTGTTTAAGTCTATCCATACATGTAGGTGCAATCAGAGCTCTGTAATGGAAGACCTAAAAGAACGTCTCCTCCCATCAAAACCTGCATCTGGTATAAACCCTAGAGATGCATCTTACAGGCGGCAGCCCTTTCAAGGAGTAGATGTTCTGGGCCTAAAAAAACGTGGGCAAGGGCTTCGATCATGGATCCGTGTTGATGCTGCATCTGGTGAAGCCCAAGTTATTGAAGTTGACAAATTTACCATGATGCGTCGCTGTGATCTTCCTGCACGTGATCTTCGTCTTCTTGATCCATTATTCGTGTACCCCTCAACAATTCTTGGGAGAGAGAAGGCAATAGTTGTGAATTTGGAGCAGATTCGGTGTATTATAACATCGGATGAAGTTCTTCTTTTGAATTCACTCGACAGCTATGTGTTACAGTATGTGGTGGAGTTGCAACGAAGGTTAAAAGCTGCAGGGGATGCAGGTGATGTTTGGCAATCAGAAAGCTCTGATTTTAGCAGATGGAAAGGAGTTAGGACTTTTCGGGATATGTTTGGAAGCCCTTCACCCGACTATCTTCCCTTTGAGTTCAAGGCTTTAGAAGTTGCTCTTGAGGCTGCTTGTACATTTCTGGACACTCAGGTTTTGTTTAATTGCTCTTACGATTTATTAGGATTTAATGATGACTAAATTGTGATCAGTTTGACCCTAACATCATTTGCCTGTTTATAAAAAAAATGTTGCTTAATTTGATCAGGCATCAGAATTAGAAATTGAAGCATATCCATTGCTTGATGAACTTACATCAAAGATCAGTACTTCGAATTTGGAGCGTGTTCGTAGACTGAAAAGCAGACTAGTTGCTTTGACTCGGAGGGTTCAGAAGGTCTTATAATATCCTCCATCTCTTCCTGCTTATTAATTTTTTTATAGAGTAAATTACAAGATTGGTCCTTGAGTTTTTTTATAATTTTCATTTTGGTCCGGATTGTTTATTTTCCTATCATGAACATGAACATGAACAAAGTAAAAGACATGTAGAAAAGTGCTGAAGAGAGGAAATCTAACATGTATAAAGAAGGGACCAAAATTGAAAAAAAAAAAAATCACAAAAGTCAGGGAGCATTGTTGTAAGTTAGATATATATTAAAGGTTTGTATGTACTATGTAATAGGTAAGAGATGAGATAGAGCAACTGATGGATGATGATGGAGATATGGCTGAAATGTATTTGACTGAAAAGAAAGGGGGAAATGAGTCGTTATTCTACAGTGGTGGTACTGGTGGTGGAGATGGATCTATGGCGGGATACAGATCAACAGATGGAACGCAATCTGTATCTGCTCCTGTGTCTCCAGTTTCTTCACCAAGAGATGGAAATGGGAAAAGGCTTGAAAAGAATCTAAGCCTTGCAAGGAGCAGCAGGCATGATAGCATAAGGAGTTCAGATACTGCAACTGGAAATATTGATGAGCTGGAGATGCTTCTTGAAGCTTATTTTATTGTCACTGATAGCACTCTCAATAAGCTCACATCGGTATCTCTTTCCTTTGTACTTTATTTATATCAACTCATAACTATGTTACAGTTTTGGTCCCCTAGAGTATACCTGATTCTTCTCTTGAGATAGAGCAACTGAGGGACCAAAATTGTAATTTACTCTGTCTGTTGTAATATTGGGTTGTGTCTAGTGGATTTGTGTTGTGATTTAGTTAAAACGTTTATTGATGGTTTCCTTTTGGTGTTGTGGGTGTAAATGTAATAGCTGAAGGAATACATTGATGATACTGAAGACTTCATCAATATTCAATTGGTATGTATGTATGTATGAGTGGTTACTGTTTGTATTGAAAAGAAAAGTAAGATGATGAATGTGGATGTATCACTGCAATGCAGGATAATGTTCGGAACCAGCTGATACAGTTTGAGTTGTTGCTGACAACAGCGACGTTTATTGTGGCGATATTTGGGGTGGTGGCGGGGATTTTTGGGATGAATTTTGAGATCGGGTTGTTTACTAGCCAGTCTGCATTTAAATGGGTACTGCTTGTTACAGGGATTTTTGGACTCTTTTTGTTTGCTTCCTTTCTCTGGTTTTTCAAGTACAGAAGACTCATGCCATTGTAGTAAATCCTTCAATGGTATTGGATACCACCAGATCCGAACTCTTATTATTTCTTCAATGCAAAATGAAAAAACACCCTATGGAGATTATTTGATAAAAGGGTTGAATCAAACCTTCCCTCATTTCCTTTTACTTCTTTGTAATTACTTTATGGATGTTTTAAATTATGCAAAGTCACATAATTAAGTTCGGTGAGAACCCTAGGGCTGCGTTTGGTTCACAAAATGTTTTTGAAGGAATTGGAATCTGTTAAAGGAATTGGAATTTGTCTTGAATTGAAATCCAATTCAATATTCTGTTTGGTTAGCAGTAAATGGAATTTAAATCCAATTTTATATTTTATTTGGTTGGCGAAAAATAAAATTGAAACAGTGTAAAATGATAGAACTATCCTTCTTGGTTTTTGTTTACTTTTACTTTGTTTTATAGTTATATGTAAAGATATATTATATAAATTATAAAAATAGTAAACGGTGGTGGGGCGGCGGCGATGGTGACAGAGGTTATGGGTGGTGTTGGTGGTGGTGACGGTGGTGGTGGTAATGGTGTTGGCGATGGTGATGGTGGTGGTGGCAACGGAAGCGATGGTAGTGGTGGGTGGCAGTGGCAACGACATCAATGGTGATGGTTAGTGGTGGTCGTCGTGGTGGGTGGGTGGCGGAGGTGGTGGTGGTGGGTGGTAGTGGAGATGGTAGGTAATGGTGGCGAAGGTTGCGGTGGAAGTGGTCACGAGTAATGACGGAGGTTTTTCATATTTAGTGTTAAAAATGAAAAGGGTAATATGGTAATCTTTAACATTCTCATTTGAAGAAATTTTGAATTTCCTCATCTTTTAGATAGAATTTATTTTCTTTCAATGGAAGGAAAGTTTGACACATTTGAGAATCCAATTACTTCTCAAAACTTGAACCAAACATAGGAAAATGATGGAATTAAATTTCAATAGGGATGAGCAAAAACCGAACCGAAAACCGAAAAACCAAAAGAAACCGACATAACCGAAACCGTAAAACCGAAACCAAAGCAATAACCGACGGTTTAGGTTTGAATTTTAGAAAAACCGAAAAATAACGGTTTGGTTCAGTTTTGATGTATAAAACCGCCCATAAAAACCGAACCGACCCACATATATATTATTTATATTATGATTTAAACTTTTAGTTTTAGACTTTAGACTTAATCTCTTTAATACTTTATGTTTATTTTCAACAAACTCTTAATAATGTTAAACTTTGATCTTTTGATCACTTTTATGCTTTTATAATACTAGAATTCGTACTTTTTATTTTAGTATATTTAAAGTAGATACAATACTATTTATCGCAATGTATTTTCACTAGGTTTGAATCAAAAAACTAGGAAAAAAACAGGAGCTCATAAACCCACGGTTTAAAACCGAAAACCCATAAACCCAACTCGGAAAACCGAAACACCGACCCATGCAAAAACCGAACCTATATGGGTTTAAAAACCGAAAAACCGACTTTCTACGGTTTGGTTTGGTTTTAGCAAAAAACCGATCCAAACCAACCCATGTTCATCCCTAAATTTCAATTCCAACATATTCCAGCAAACCAAACGACCCCTAGATTTTACCATTCTTACCAAAATACTCTCGTTATATTATATATGTACACAGATAGACACTAAAATAAATAAAATCAATAAATTGTTTACATAGAACCAAAGCTATTTGAATATATATATACTTTTTTTAAACAATTTTGTTACTAATTTTCATTTTGGTCAAACATTAGACATTATCATCCATCTATGTTCTAGTTCCTTTCTTCTTTTGACATAAAGCATTCTGCCAACTAAATGCCCCTTCAAAATCCAATTATTTCTATCTTTCAAAATCCAAATACAAAGCACAAGAAATCATTCGCTTAACAAAATAATGAAAAAAACCAAAAGCAATACAGCATTTTGGACATACTAGGTTGTACGAGTATTCTATAAAACAAAACATGATGGGTGTAGATATCAGTTTATCATTTATTTTGATGGTGCAGAATGTAGACGTGCATTTCGAGCTCTATCAGCTTTCTCCAAGTAGTCTTGATGGGATTGATGTTTTGTACCTTTAATTAACAACAAAAATAAGCAAATATGTAAAAATTAGGACTTTATAGTGACTTTTTAGTTTTTAGTTAAGTTGTCCTTTATGCATCAAGTCAAAAAAATAATAATAATACCGGATTAAGTTTTGTCCCCATTAAAGTCCCACTAAGGGGATGTTTTGTTTAGAATCACTGGGGTTAATGGGTTAAGCACTTAATGTCGACAGCTATACATGGCTAATTCTTTTCTACTTGATCTAGACATAATGACTTAATGAGTTAACTCAAAAAACCTGAGTTAATGTATTAAGACACCAACTCTTTACATATTTGCCTTTTCTTTTCCTCCTAACTCATCTCACATTAAAAGCTTGATGAATACTGTGAAATTTGCTTTTGGGAATATAAGGGGAAAATGTTCATTTACTCACACTCAACTAATTTATTCAGTCTAGAAAAGAATAAGACCTTATGCATACAACACTTTATCACAACATGCAACAAAACTCTTCCCAACATTAACCTAACTTGACTATTCTTTTAACCTTACAGATAATCCAATAAGATGGTGTCAGAATATGTGTTTTAAAACTGAATATATAATGCTGAATAATCACATATACTGTAATGAACGCTTGCATGAGGCAGTGTACGAGTTGCTTATGCTACTTGAAGATGTAATAATCACCTTCATGGTGTTACATGTATGAAGTGTATATGATTATTAATAGAAGGAGATAAAAAAATCTAAGTAATTTTACTTAACTGTTTAGTAACAACTAACAAGTGCAAATTGATTATGTGACCCCTTAATAACCTTCTGATACCCAAACAAAGCAATCCAATTATTGAATAACCACTTCCAAAATGGAAGTCCACACACACCCTAGAATTAGAAATCTATTATATGACCCTTAATAACCTTACCCTTACTTTGCTAATCTTTACTAATATCTAACCCTGATCATGGGAGGCATTTTTTGCATCTTGGTGTATAATTTAAGCTAGCAAAAACATAAAAGATAAATCGACTGATCCTAGATGCAATCAATCAAAGCGTGAATAAAAACCCTAATGTTTAGATTAAAAAGATGCAATCTAAGTGACCAGTAACGACGAATGGATGGATAGAGAGATTACCTCGGTTCATGAGGTACCATGGAACGCCAAAGAGGACGCCGATGATGGCCATGCCAGCCGCGACATGCTTCTTTTCACCACTGTAAAGGTAGTGCTCCATTTTTGCCCTAAATCCTCCATGATTCGCCTGGCTTCCCATTTCTAATTTCCCCTCCACGGCCTAAACCCTCTGGTTTCTTTCCCACTGCCTTCTTCGTGCGAAGCAAATAAACCCTTCTGTTTACTTCTAGGATCCGATATAGTTAACAAATGAGGAATCATCGGGTCAATAACGATGGACCAAATAATAAAAAGGGTAAATTACACAAATGGTCTATCTCGTTTGGGGTAACGTGTGATTTCTAATTTCCTTTTTTGAACGGATTGTGTTTTTGTTTCCTCTGATTTGACTGATTATTTTACATTTTTACCCTTAATGTTATTTTGAATTTCTTTTATAATTCAATTTTAATTATTATATAAATCAAAACATTAAATAAACTTACCCTACCTTTAATTAGACGCCACCCCCACACCCTCCTTTTTACCTTTACCGTATTTGTGTTTCATACCCCCTGAAAACCATCTCTGATTCTCTGGTCTCCTGCACCACCACCCTACCTATCGTCGGAGTTAAAGTTAATACATATATACCGGGTAGTTAAACCCTAGCCCTTATCCATTCCCACTTCCACCCCCAATGGTCTCGTTGGAAAAGAAATCATTGACGACAACTATGGAATCACAAACCATATCCACAGCTGGTTGCGTTTGGTCAATCATAGCGTCACTGACATCTGTAGAAAGAAAAAGTGTGTAACATTCGGATCCTTAAGGTATGAAAATGTAAAGTAAATATGAATGCTTGGAGGGTCATGACATGATCGCATTCTTCGGGATGAATCATTTATGTATCACGACATGACACTCTATGGATCACGACGTGACACTCTATAGGCCACGACGTGACACCTACTCAGATGTAAAACCCTAATTTCGGACTTAGACCTTACTTAAAGAAAGTGAGGGGTTATTGTTTTCTTCACCCTCAACCTCCATCACCTCCAAACGACCCTTTGGTCAAACCCTAACTCTCTTGAAGCTTTTGAGCTTATTTTTGCAAGCTTTGGTGGTTTTGAAGGAAGGAGAAGAAGTTTTGGTGCCTAGATCCTCCAAGAATCCCTCTTCATCCTTATATGTGGCTTATGGACTTTTTGTAAGTCCTCAAACTCTCATCTTGTTGTTGTATGTCTCTTAGATCTAAGTTTTATGCCATATGTTGCTCCACTTGTGAAGATGGGATGAGTAGAAAAGATAAAGTTTGCAACTTTATAACCCCTCTAAGTCCCAAGAGCATTATATCACATATATTTAAGATGTGGTTGTAATTTAGGGACCTTGCATGAATTTTTGGTTATATTGCATCTTTTGACCTAGGTTTGGGAAAGGACATGCATGGGGCATGCATTTCCATAAAGTTTATATTTTTAGTGATCATTGGGTCCCTAAAACCCTTCTGGAAATTTTGGATTGAAGACTATATGAATTAAGTGTTTAATGGTTGATTTCATGCATTAAAGTTGTCATTAAGGACCTTGGACTTGAGATCTTGGCTTAGAGGGATGTCTTAATGGATAAAGTTGGAAACTTTATCCATTAATATCGTGGGAAGAATCAGATATGAGCTTTGGAGCTCGTGGAATCGATGGAAAATGGTTGAATCCATTAAGCTAAGATAATTAGTTTTCACGAGGTAACATCCATGTTGTCACGACGTGAAGACTAGGGTTATCCTCGATTAACTTAGACTAATTTTTGCTTAACTTGATGACCTATACATCACGATGTGATGATGTTTTGGATCGAGATTGAGTTGAGTTGACTGAGTTGAATCGTGACTGAGTGGGATCGGGTTGAGTTTGTTTCCCACAACGTGACCATGAGTTGGTCACGACATGAGGGTCAGCTAATGGAAGTGCTTGTTGGACTAGGTGTTTAAGCTATTAACTAAATTTTTATAAGATTAAATTATTAGCAAAGTCATTTTGGGTTGCCCTCAAACCTAGTAATTGACTGGAATGGTTTTTGGAAAGAAATGATGATTTGTTGAATTATTGTATGATTAATA